GCAGTGGTGTGATCTCAGCTCACTGCAACGTCTGCCTCCTGGGTTCAAGCGATTCTCCTGCGTAGCTGGGATTACAGATGCGTACCACCATACCCAGCTAATGTTTGTTTGTTTGTTTTTAATTTATTTATTTGACTTTAGGTGCATATTATATCTGGCATTTCTCCCCATGATGTTTGTATTTTTAATAGAGACGGGGTTTCACCATATTGGTCAGGCTGGTCTTGAACCCCTGACCTAGTGATCCACCCACCTCGGCATGCTGGGATTACAGGCATGGGCCACCACACCTGCCTGAGTTTTTTTTTTTTAATTATTTTGACGAAAGATTTAAAAATTCGTTTTGCCTTTTCCTTGTTTTCTCCTGATAAAGAACAGTCACGTGAGTTTCTCTCTTTGGTGTTAGTCCACAGAGAATCTTTGTGAAATGGATAAACATATTGCCTGAGTAGGGGTATCAGTAACCAATACTGGGTAATTTACTTCAGTGAAGGGTTAGCACGGTTGACTGCTTAATTATTGTTTGGGCAAATTAGTTTAATCATTCTTGAATGCATAAGGCTGTTAGGCTGTTATGATGAAAAAGACACTTGCTGGAGGATGTCCTGACTGTCTCTCATCTTCTGTTGACCTCATTGTAGTTGACACTCCTGTACGTCTTCAGGATCGGTGTGAAATAAGAGGCCGACTTCTGTTGGTAGTGTGATGGTCTTTGTCTTGTCTTAGTGACAAACAATCCAGGACAGTGGTATTGTGCTCTGTGACTTATGTGATCTGTGCAGAGTGACTGTCTGATTGAGTATTTGAATTGATTCCCTTATGTTTCTCTATGAGATGGTGTGTCTGTGTGTTTTCATTTTCTGTTGCATACCAAATGTAGCAGCTGGGCATCATGGTGGGCGCCTATAATCCCAGGTACTCAGGAGGGTAAGGCAGGAGAATCACTTGAACTCGGAAGGCAGAGGTGGCAGTGAGCCAAGATTGCGCCATTGCACTCCAGCCTAGGCAACAAGAGTGAAACTCCATCTCAAAAAAAATAAATAAATAAAGCAACTATGCCTTTTGCAAGTGTAATTGGTTATTCCCATGTATGGATATCTTTAAAGATAGGATCATTAACTGTCACTGCCCCTAGGGGAAATTCATTTTCTTATCCATCCACATATCAGAGAATTTCACAAAACCTGAATATGTCATTGTGTCACACATATTAAAAATATTTTATGAGCTGTGTGTTTTTCTTGTAATTTTTTCTGAATTGGCTATGTGTTGTGCCATTTCAGAAAAAATTCCAAGAAAAACAATTTATGGAATATTTCACAAGTGGCTTTTTTAAAGTATATTAGCATTTTCCTTTATTTAAATGGTCTTAATATTTTTCTGAATGAGGAGGTATGAGATGTACCTGTAATATGCACATAGTTGTTTTGTATCATAGTAATAGCTAACATTACTGAGCGTATGCCTTGTGCTAAGTAGTGGTAACACTTCACGTGTTACTTGATCTTCCCAACAACACTAGGAGCTTACAGAAACTTGTGGCTAAGAGAAGGTAAATAATTTGCCCAAGGCCACTCATGTAGTAAGTATTAGGATCTACTTTGAATCTCTGAGTCTGTCTTCACCGCGTAGTTTTTTTTCACAGCCTATTTTTCTTTTCTTTTCTTTTCTTTTCTTTTTTTTTCTGAGATGGAATCTTGCTCTGTCACCCAGGTGGAGTGCAGTGGTGTGATCCCAGTTTACTGCAACTTCCGTCTCCTGGGTTCAAGCAATTCTGCCTCAGCCTCCCGAGTAGCTGGGATTACAGATGTGCGCCACCACGCCCAGCTAATTTTTGTATTTTTAGCAGAGACAGGCTTTCCCTGTGTTGGCCAGGCTGGTCTCAAACTCCTGATCTCAAATGACCTGCCCACCTTCATCCTTCCAAAGTATTAGGATTACAGATGTGAGTCACTGCACCCAGCCAGAGCCTACATTCTTTATCAGTGCAGCATAGTTTGCACATGTGTGTGTGAAAATATATTTAAATATATCTTTGCTTATAACTCGCTATCTTGGGCAGGTTATACAACCTCTCTGAACCCCAGTCTTCCCCATTTGTGAAATCGGGTTGTATCTGTCTTTGGGTTGTTGTGACAACTTGAGGAGATAAGAAATATATAATATATGTAAATATAGAAATATATAAATTGCCTACCATTAAAGTATATACCATTGTATATAGTCACAAAATGTTAGCAATGTTGATTAGAGCCCACATTTATTTTACAAATGATTATTCATAGTGGAATTTTTTTTCCTTAATTCTTTGATGTCAGATTTTGAACACAGCACGAAAACATTTTGGAGCTGGTGGAAATCAGCGGATTCGCTTCACATTGCCACCTTTGGTATTTGCAGCTTATCAGCTGGCTTTTCGATACAAAGAGAATTCTAAAGTGGTGAGTTTACTTTTAACTATTTTGCTACTTTTTTTTTCCTTTTTCATCACTCTGAGTGTGTGTTTTATGTTATAAAAAATTTCAAACATACAAAAATAGACAGTGGTATAATAAATCCCATTTTTAGTAATACTCTATTTGTTCCTTAACCTGTGCAAAGCGTTCCTAACAGTGATGTTGGTGGATCACATACTAGCTGAGGGATCACATAAAAAGCACTTAGAAATGCAGGATTAGGCTGGGCGCAGTGGCTCAGGCCTGTAATCCCAGGTCTTTGGGAGGCTGAGGCAGGCAGATCACAAGGTCAGGAGTTCAAGACCAGCCTGGCCAACATGGCAAAACCCTCTATCTACTAAAAATACAAAAATTCGCTGGGCATGGTGGCAGGTATCTGTAATCCCAGTTACTCCAGAGGCTGAGGTGGGAGAATCACTTGAACCTGGGTGGCGGAGGTTGCAGTGAGCCAAGACCGTGCCATTGCACTCCAGCCTAAGCAACAAGAGCGAGACTTTGTCTCAAAAAAAAAAAAAAAAGTGGATTTATGCTAAAACTTTTTCCTAAGTTCTTATTCAGGTTATCTTTAAAACCTAGGGAGAGGGCGTAGCATTGCAGTCATTTCTCTCTAAAGGCATATGATTGAATAATATCATGAGCTGTGGGCCACTTTTTATGAGCTTTTTTCTTCTTCAAACCAGAATCATGGCTTGAGTCTTCATGGTGTAGTTTTGTTTTGTTGTTGTTGTTGTTTTTGAGATGGAGTCTTTCTCTGTTGCCCAAGCTGAAGTGCAGTGGCACCATTTCAGCTCATTGCAACCTCTGCCTCCTGAGTTAAAGCGATTCTCCTGCCTCAGCCTCCCAAGTAGCAGGGACTACAGGCACGTGCTACCACACCCAGCTAATTTTTGTATTTTTAGTAGAGGCAGAGTTTCACCATGTTTGGCCAGGCTGTTCTTGAACTCTTGACCTCAGGTTACCCACCTGCCTCGGTCTCCCAAAGTGCTGGGATTATAGGCGTAAGCTACCATGCCCAGCCCAATGTGTACTTTTGAAGAAAATACCTCAAGCTCATGTACCTGAAAGCTGGACAGTCAGGTTCATGTTAAAGAACAACCTCAGTAACTTAATTTTGTTTACTTGCTTGTTTCTGTGGAGATAGGGTCTCACTCTGTCACCCAGGTGGGAGTGCTCAATCATGGCTTACCGCAAACTCCACCTTGTCGGTTCAAGTGATTCTTGTGTCTCAGCCTCCTAAGTAGCTGGGATTACAGGTGTGCACCACCACACCCAGCTAATTTTTGTATTTTTAGTAGAGACAGGGTCTCACCTGTTGACCAGTTGGTCTTGAATTTGCGGTCTCAAGTGATCCTCCTGCCTCAGCCTCCCAAAGTGCTGGGATTATAGGTGTGAGCCACTGCACCCAGCCTTAGTAGGGACTTAATTTTCTTATAATTGAGAAAAAAGATGTTCCTACCAGCATGAAACAGCAGCTTTTAGCCAATATTTATTAGGCCAGCTTATCATTCACTCTTTCCCAGCATTTATGGATAGGAATTTGTGACTATAATGTTAAAAATAACAACCAGCCTACATTACAAAGCCATAGTAATTAAAACAGTGTGGCAGTATGGTACTGGCATAAAAGCAGACACATAGACCAATGGAACAGAATAGAGAGTTTAGAAATAAACCCATGCATATGCAACAAAGAAACCTTTGATCAAGACACCAAGCATACACAATGGGGAAAAGGATGGTCTCTTCAGTAAATAGTATTGGGAAAATTGGATATCCATATGCCAAAAAATGGAATTGGACTCTTGTACCATATACAATAATGAACTCAAAATGGATTAAAGACCTGAAACCATAAAAATCCTAGAAAAAAACATAGAGGAAAACCTTGTCATTGGTCTTTGCAATGCTTTTTTTGGATATATAACCAAAAACTTAGGCAACCAAAGCAAAAATAAGCAAGTGGGACTCTATTAAACTAAAAAGCTCTGTACAACAAAGGAAACAAAGCAGCAGAGTGAAGAGAGAGCCAACGGAATGAGGAAGAATATTTGCAAATCATACATCTTAAAAGTGGTCAGTGTTCAAAATGTATAAGGAACGCAACTCAATAGCAAGAAAATGGATAACTTGATTAAAAAATGGGCAAAGGATCTGAATAGACAGTTTTCCAAAGAAGACATACAAATGGCCAACTGGTATATGAAAAGATGTTCAACATCCTTTATCAGGAAAATGGAAATCAAAACCACTATGAGATACCACCTCACACCTGTCAGAATATTATCAAAAAGACAGAAAATAACAAGCGTTGGCAAGGATGTACAGAAATGGGAACCCTGTGTATCATAGATGGGAATAATAATAAATTATTATAATAATAAATTGTATAGCCATTATGGAAAATGGTAGGGAGGGTCCTCAACTAAAAATAGAACTACCACGTGACCCTACAATCCCACATCTGATTATGTATTCAAAGGAAAGGAAATCGGTATCTCAAAGAGATACCTGCACTCCCATGTTTAGTGCAGCATTATTCACAATGATTGATATATGGAAACAACCTTAGTGTCTATCAATAGATGAATAAAGAAATTGTGTTGTGTGTGTGTGTGTGTGTGTGTGTGTCTATATATAAGCATGTTTCTACTCACATATAATATTCTCTACATAGTAGGATATTATTCAACCATAGAAATGGAGAAAATATTGCTGTTATGACAAAGGGATGAATCTGGAGGACATCATTCTAAGTGAAATAAGCCAAACACAGAAAGGCAAATACTACATGACTTCATCTATATGTGGAATTGTTTTTTAAGTTGAATTCATCTCTCCTAGGCAAGACCCAAACTCTAGTAAAAAATTAACCAGGTGTGGTGGTGCATGCCTGTAGTCCTACCCACTCAAGAGGCCAGGGTGGGGCCAGGTGCGTTAGCTCACACCTGTAATCCTAGCACTTTGGGAGGTGGAGGTGGGTGGATCATCTGAAGTCAGGAATTTGAGACCAGCCTGGCCAATATGGTGAAATCTCGTCTTTACTAAAAATACAAAAATTAGCCAGGCGTGGTGGCACATGCCTGTAATCCCAGCTACGCAGGAGGCTGAGGCAGGAGAATCACTTGAACCCAGGGGGTGGAGGTTGCAGTAAGCCAAGATCACGTCACTGCACTCCAGCCTGAGCCACAAAGTGAGACTCCATCTCAAAAAAAAAAAGAGGTTAGGGCAGGAGGACGGCTTGAGCCCAGAAGTTGGAGGCTGCAATGAATTATGATTGCGCTTCCATGCTCCAGCCTGGGCAACAGAGGGAGACCCAGTCACTAAAAAATGGTTGAACTCACATAAGCAAAGAGTATAACAGTAGTTGCCAAAGAATACAAACTTTCAATTATAAGATAAAAAAAAATCTGGGGATCAAAACAATTTAGGGCAAATAAGTAAAAGTAGCCTTTAGCCTTTACTTATTTACTAGACTACTTACTATGTGCCATACACTGTGCCAAGGACCTTATAGTTACTTGGATTATGGCATTTAATCCTTGGAACAAGTCTATGACTGTCACTGTCTTTTTTTTTTTTTTTTTTTGAATCTTGAATCAAGGTCTTTGTCATCCAAGCTGGGATACAGTGATAGGATTACGGCTCACAGCAGCTTTGAACTCTTAGGCTCAAGCGATCCTCAGCCTCCTGAGTAGCTCGGGCTACAAGCATGTGCCACCATACTGGCTAATTTTTCGTAGACATGGGGTCTTACCATGTTGCCCAGGCTGGTCTCAAATTCTTGGGCTCAAGCAATCCTCCTGCCTCCTCAACCTCTCAAAGTGTTGGGATTACAGGCATGAGCCACCATGCCCAGCCTGTTACCATCTTTAGAAATGAAAAGAACTAATTGCATTAACAAGAAGAAATTTGTCAAACATAATAAAATATTTAACCTCACTTGTAATTACATCAGAGAACCTTTTTTTTTATATTTTTATTTTTATTTTATTTTTTTAGACAGAGTCTTGCTCTTGTCACCCAGGCTGGAGTGCAGGGGTGTGACCTCGGCTCACTGCAACCTCCACCTCCCAGGTTCAAGCAATTCTCCTGCGTCAGCCTCCTGAGTAGCTGGGATTACAGGTGCCCACCACCACGCACAGCTAATTTTTATATTTTTAGTAGAGACGGGGTTTTGCCATGTTGGCCAGGCTGGTCTTGAACTCCTGACTTCAGGCAATCCACCTGCCTCAGCCTCCTGGAGTGCTGAGATTACAGGCATGAGCCACTGCGCCCAGCCAGCAGTGAAACTTTTAAGAAATCAAATTAGCGGCTGGGCGCGGTGGCTGAAGCCTGTAATCCCAGCACTTTGGGAGGCCGAGGCGGGTGGATCACGAGGTCAAGAGATCGAGACCATCCTGGTCAACATGGTGAAACCCCGTCTCTACTAAAAATACAAAA